ATTAGAATTATTTTTTGGAATAAAAATATAAATAGATCCTTCTAGAAATTTCGAACAGCACCGTAAACTTCCCTTCGCCTACATCATTCCAACCAGCCGTATTTGAGCGAGTCAAAGTCTTGAATTCTTAAACAAAGGCGTTGAATAACTGTGAATTTTTATTTTTTTATTCGCAATAATTTCATTTATTATGGAATTTAAGGATAAGGTTGTAAATGCTCCGATTTCGAGTTTTGGGATCAGCTCAAAATCGGCTCATTGAGCGGAGGTCGGCTCGAAGAAAATTAGATTAAAATTTTTGACTTATAGCTCCGCTTGTTTATTTTGATCTAATATCAATCTGAGCTAAAATTTGAATCAATTTTCGAGCGATTGACGATCTTCGAGCTAAATTCGCTAAATTCACATGAGTAATATCACTAGGGCTTTTAATGATCAGGTTAGCTCAAAATTGTCTCGAAAAAATTTGATTCGAACTTTTGGTTCGTAGCGCGGCTCGTTTGTTGTGATCCGATCTCGATCTGAGCCAAACTTTAAGTTTTCATGTGATTAATGAACTTTGAGCTAAATTCACAGCCCTACTTAGGATAAAAATTTATTGCGTGTTTTAATGTTTTAAAATTGGCTTTAAAATGAGTATGATGTATAAATAACTAATTAAATATTATGTCTGGATCATTTCAAAATAATTAGAAATATTTTAAAACTCATTAGAGATAAATTTAAGTAGCTAATAGCATTTAAGATTTCTAATCAATGGCTCAAAGTGCATAAAAAAGATTAACCAAATAAATAAATATATTTTTATTTTAGGTGCATTGATGATGAAAAAATAAGTTCTTGGGAGCTATATGGAAGGCATATAAGAAAATGAACAAATATAAACATAACTTAGAAAGCTTTGATATGCGAACCTTACGATTGAGATTCGAGGACTTTAGAGACGAGCCTCTAAATTTAGAGGGCTTCACGGGCTCTGTCGATTGGAAGATAAGGTCACATGACTGACTAGGCTTGAGTAGACTTTCCTTTCTAAATATACACTCTTAAGGTGAGGGTTAGACTCTTAAGGTGAGGGTTAGTCTCACCATTAGTTAATTTCTCTAAGCCAGGCGAGTTTCACGAGGCTTTTAGCCAGTTCCCAAAGGTTTATGCGAGTCCCTTAGGATCTCAGGCGAGTGCCCAAGATCCTAAGTATTCTCATTCCCATGCCAAAGGTATCACATATCTGGGATATAATTAGCTTCTAAATTCTTTTGCTTATTTTGAAGGCCTGTTAGTAAGAATATCATGATAATTAAATAAATATGTAAATTAATCTAAACTTATTTTTATAGTCCATATTTCAATATTGGTGCTGGTGGGACCAATTTATTTCTTCAGATATCAAACTTAGGTGACTACTAACATGGGAATAGATTGCACCTATAAATACCAACAGCCAAAGACTCATTATATATTCACATTCTTCGTACTTTGATTCCTTTTTTTCCCATCATGTTTATGTAATGTTAATAGTCAGGGTAGAGTGTTTCAATTCGTTGGAGGGGAATAGATCGTTCCCTCCAACAATGATGAATATTTCAAATTGTATCTTGTGATGAAACATATAGAGATAACTTCTCCAAACTAAGGGCTTGAAAGCTAAGCAACAACTTCCAGTCACAAGATTTTAGACTATAGCCTTTTAGAGTACTCCATATTTTCTTTGATAACAGTGTTCCATTGTATTGCCCCCAACATGTGTTAGACCGAGGTTGCGGCTCAAGTATATGTCATCTCTAAGAAGACATGTTAAACACCATATTTAGAATTTTAAACTTGTTTAGTTTTCTCTTATTGTATTGGCAAGGCTTATAGAAGTCATATATTGCTCTACATGAAATGTCCAGCAACAATAAGAGATAAGGAGAGACAAGTCAATCTGCCACCCACTAGACTGAACACCCCCAGTGTATACTATGGTAGAGATGTTGAGTAGCCTCACCATCTACATCACCTTAAGAAAGCTTTTGGGCCATGGACAGACCAAATTATAGGCTATTTCATATTATCTATGACTTCATGATGACTCTATTATTCTCTTTGTTTTGGTTTTTTTTTTATCTATGATATGACCTAAACTTACCGCACCATTTGAGGGTGTTGAACCAAAGTTTGTCCTTGAATCACACCTAAGGAATAGATGTTAAACAGAGAGAGAGAAAAAAATATGTTTTGCAGGGATGGAAGAGCTAGATGGAAGAGATCTGAGACCATGGAAGTATTCTTGGGTTGGGGATGCTTCAAAAAAAATATTTGCTTCATTTAATTTCCTCTATTTATGGTGGTTGAACCTCATAAAATGATATATTTGGGCCTGTCAAGACCTAGAATTTAAGCGTGAGACCCTCAAATTCTTATCACTTTTTTTCTTATTATGACTCGTGATCCTGGAATAAGTTAACTCCTGGTTGGACCGTTGTGATGTGAGGGTTAAACATTTGAACTAGAATGATCTCTTCCAATGCTTAGGCATGGACGCTTAACGTTGGCTGCTCATCCATGGATGCCCGACCTTAGTCGCTTGACCTTTGTTAGCCAACTTATTCATGCTTAATTCCAACTATACAGTCTCAAGTGCTCAACTTTGATTACCTAGCTTTGAGTGTTCGCCCTCGAGCACTCAACCTTAGTCACCCAATTTTGATCATTTAGCTTCAGTTATCCACCTCGGGCGTTTGATCTTAGGCCTTCAGGCCCCTCGCTTCCCAAACGATTACAGCTATATTCAGCTACCCAATCTATTACTTCAGTTCATTTAGAATGACTTCCTCTGATTGATGAGTTTTGAGTTGTCTGATTTACTATAATCTTGACCATCAAATCCACGATGAATCAGATAATCGTTTTTTGTGTGTACAACTGCATTATTTAAGTACCTTCTCTAATTACAATAAAGTGCAACATTTATAATATATGACTTGCACTATGAAAACCATTTATATTGGTACACTCCTCAAAGTATTTCTTTTTAACTAATTTTTCACGTAAAATCATATTTTCAGTTATAAGCTTTTATGTGAGATTTTTGTATATTGCTTTTTAATATATATATATATAT